AAGTGACATTTGTTTAGCCATCATTCACAGCTTTCTTCACTATTCAAACAAGCAATGACGATGCAACTTATGGGGAAAAACGTCTGCGCGAAAGTCACGCCATCGTGTCTGTAAAATTGGTTTAGGAAATTTAGCATTTTACGTCATTTTGCACCATGTGACGGCGCTCACCAAATAGCGATGAGAGCGATGCAAAGAAAAGGTATGTGTAACTTTGCTACCTGTGGTAACTTGTGTAGTTATACTAGGCTCTGTATGCAAATGGCTCAGGACAGCATGCCACTAAAGGGGGAAGTCCCGCAGGACCATGCTATGTATAAGCCTCAACAGTTCGTTTAAGCCTGAATAAAAGGGCATTCTATATAACATAGTCAGGACAATTGTCAAGATTCTGCTGTATTGATATTGCAGATACAGTATACTTCCTTAAGGGGAGAGGTAACATTGAAAAAAAACTTTTTTATTTGTTGACCTACAGCAATGAAATTTGGCATGCATACTCGTAAGTGTCTAGAATAGGGAAATATGCAGTTTCATCATGATAGCTTTTTAGTAGTTCTCAAGTTACATAATGCTACACGATCCAATTACATGGTCTGCTCGTGGAAAGCCTAGCGTTGCAACAAAACATGCCAGGAAGCTGCGAATGGTGTTGATCTTTACTCAAAAGAAAGCTACAGGGTATGACACTCTCAGAATTTTTTAATAAGTTCTCTTTTTTTTTAGAGATCATCATGGCTGCCGACACACATTGTCAGAAACAATGGCACAGTCAAATCATCATCTAGAAAAATAACAGGGCCACAAAACAGAAATTGAAGATTGCTGTACCCACAAGCAGTGTCCAGGGATTCAGGAAAAAAAAAACAGAATCAAAATCGGTCCAGTGATTCTCGTGCTACTCTTTCCACGAGCAATGCACAATGTCCAAAACACACTTGTGAGAAAAACCCTGTCGAAGTTTTCGACAGGCTTTTTTCAATGAACTTTTTTTTTGTTTCTCGTTGGATATTGATTAAAATTGGCACAGACACTGAGAATAACCTCACAGTGCTTCCATAAAAATTTCGAAGCGATACCACAAATACTTTTATGAGAAACAAATTATTTCTTCATTGAACCATGTGGAGGGGCTGAGCATAATGTCAAAAAAAAAAAAAGAACAGTATTGAGGAAGCTGCGTTTAAAGTTTCAACTTTTCTTTACGTCTCTAAGACACCTAAAAATTGTGATCTCAGGTTTGTCTTGTGATATTTGACTTCTTTTCATGATTTACTCCTTTTCATGACTTACAAAGAACAAGTATACATTTCAAACCAAGTTCTTTCTATGAAGGAGTGGTGTGATAGGTATGACAGAAAAGATTGTAAGTGATAAAACCATATACTGAAATTATTACACATACTTTTTTGTGCTGAAGTTGTAATTAGCGTAATTAAGCACTTGATTACAAATATTCACAGAACTTTTTTTTATTTGGAGAGAGGTTTATTGCATCAGAAAAATGAATCCCACCATGACGGCCTATGACTTCTTTCTAAATAACAAAGTTATGGGCAGAAGACTGGTGGCACGGGAATTTCTAGCAGTATAATTAATGACACGAAACGGACATATAAAAATTCGTGCCCCTGATTCACACATGCTCTTTCGCCGCTCAAGCCGTGAAACGCATCATCATACAGCCGGTCGCGGAAACTCTAATCTACAGCAATTCATTAACCTCGAAACATTCATAGACGTTCGTGGCGATATCAAGTACGGCTCCAAGCACGTCTGAATCGCATCGCAAAAGCTTACTGACAGCACTCCATATGACCGTGGGGTGCGCGGCCGCGTGGACAGTGCAGCCGGCGCGTAATGCACTTGCCGGCGGCGTTCTATGACGATGCGCGAAATGTGTAACTACGAAGACAAAAAATCGGCACGCACTACCCTTGGAATCGCATTTTCTAATGACGACGCGCGAAACTGCTAGCCGCTGTTCCGAGCGATCCTTGGCAGTGAAAGGGGGGCGGGGGGGGGGTGACGAGCTTGACTGTGTTGTCCGCTGCCGATGCGTAAAATGCCCGTACGAGATTCAGAGGAGCTAGCGAGTGATGTGGTACATTCCTTGCGAAGAAGCACGTCGCCAAGAGTGCGCTTGCGCGTCGTTCCTGCCCGCAGTCTCGCTGTCAGCGGAGTTAGGCCTAAAGCCGACTCCGATAACGCGTTACCGCCGCGCGCCCGCTCGTAGTAATCTGATCGTGCATCCGGTGCGGCCACTCGTAGTAATCAGATCGTGCCGCCGCTTACAGCTTCGTTGCTTGCGAAGAAGCACGTCGCCACGAATGCGCTAGCGCGTCGTTCCTGCCCGCAGTCTCGCTGTCGGCGGAGTTAGGGCTAAAAACGACTCCGATGACGCGCGGCGCTCGTAGACCGCGCTCCCGCTCGTAGTAACCTGATCGCGCATCCGCTTACTGCTCGTAACTAAAGCGTAGTTATATCTTGAGTGATTATCAAGCCGTGAACACGTCACGAAGTGGCGATTTTCGAGAGCCATGTCCTCGCGACGCACAAGCAGCAGACGACGATCTCCCGGAGCGAGCATTGGGCCAATGGCGAGGCGAGCAGAGGCAACATGGCGGCCACGGCCAATCAAGGGCCTCAAAACGACCTTCAAACATTTGCTTTTTGCTCGCTTGTTGTTAAAAGGAGGAGCTAGCTGAGGCGGGAAAGTTAAACATGGAGAAATGCTCTTTCCGATGAGCCCAAGAAGCCGGCTCCCGGCCCAAGCATCGCGAAGCTATAATTTTTTGAAAATCTCCGTTTTCTCGCCATTTCCAGAAAAAGTTTTGCTACCTAGGTGGGTGAAACGAATTTCCCGAAGCACTTCTGCGCGGTTTTCAGTGTAGATATTTTGGAACCAGATAGAAAAAGGGTTCCAGAAACTGAAAACATGAGTTTCAAAAAATCGATTTTTTTGCCATTTTTCGCGATCCCAAAGCCGCGTCCCCTATTAAAGACAAACTCCAAGGGACCACGTTCATTTGTTCGTCTCACAAGGAGTTTGTCTTATCAGAAGCACTCCCAAAAACCAAATGCTAACATGCCAAATACACCTAAATAGGTTGCTTGAAAACACAGAATGAAATATGCTTACAATGGGGAAGAAAGGAATAAGAAAAAGCATTTGTTTGGCTCAGTTTGATAAAAACTATGCTTTCAAGTATAGTACTGAGACTAATCTAGCAAGTACTCGAATTCACGATTTAGTAAGAAATATGCTCAAGAGTAAGTTTCTACTAAATTTCAAAAATAAAACTGTGCATGACCCTGTTACTACGATTAGAAAGATAAAAAGGGAGAAACAGGCACAATTTTCCTTCAAAGAATAAAAAATATATTCTTCTGGCTGTTCACCTTCAGAGAGGCTGTTTTACTGGCTTTGCTGTCACTTTTATATGCCTTCATTGCATACTGCTACTTTGACAAATCCAATATAGGCCAAGTTGCTTATGAAAGTCTGCAAGCTTTTCTGTGAGATTCGAATATTTTCCTATTTTCAGCCCACAGTAACTTTTCCTGAACGACATGTAACTGAAGGTCTCCGTTTACACTACTCATGATCTCAAGCCTCAGGCACACAAAAAAGACACAATGCAGCTATATTTAGTGCGAAAAATGACCTTCCTTTGTCGTGCACTTTCATAGTGAAAATGGCGCATCACAATTTGTGGCATCTAAGTGGGAACTGATGTGACATGCGCAGGCCCTGTGCAAAACAATGCAACCTGACCACAACACGTGCTCAAGTGTCATTGTGCCATGGCGATAACAATTCATCAGAATCCTATGATGGAAGTGATAGTGCCACATACGTGGTGTCCGTTTCATGTGATTGTAATGAACAGATAATCTTAGTTCCCGTTTACACTTTCATTTGGCTTTTTTTCACCTCCTCTTCCTTGCATTTTCCCCTCTAGCCGTGCTCTTGTGTTTTATTCTCTACTGTACTTATTTTGGGGAACTGAAGAATGCAAAGAGCATACGAAAAGTCAAACTCTTTTTGTTGCTTTGTTTGCTGATAAAGACACACTTTTCTTCACCTACAGGCTAGGGGTTAGGGAGACACCAGCTTCATCTGCTGACCTTTCTTTTCCACTTATCTAACTTTCTCTATCTTTACACTTTTTCTATCTTTCTTTACAATTAGCTTTTGATATGCTTTGAGTCTTGGCACCAGAAGTCCTGTCTTTCTTTTTTTTTTCATTTCGCTTTCTCAGTTCGTCTCAATGCCCTCATCAAGACTATAATGTTCGTTGTGCACAATCTTTGTCGTTGTTGGTCGCTGCGAGAGTTCGTCTTAACAGAAGAGGCATTTTATGCGTTCGTCATAAGCAGATTTTTTTTTTTGCATTGAGTCTATAAGAAACGAAACATTCCCATGTTGTTCGTCTTAAGCAAGAATTCATCTTAACAAAGTTCGTCTTGAAGGGAGTTCGCTGTAAATGCACTCTCTTAAATTGCAGTTAAGAATACATGGTGTTCTGTGAACGTCAGGTTACAATACGTTAACTACATCATCACATCAAGGAGTTTGTTATGAAGTGCATTATATCAAGATTTAAATGTACCTAAAAATTGGTTTATTTGACCTTCACTAATTGCATGCTGAAAATTATTAGATGTATTACAAGAATAATCCTACTGGCTCCCAGCATATCATGGCCTTTACCTGTTTTCAGCTTACTATCTTTCTGTTTAATATCAGTTGGCATTAGCCAAAGTAAACGTGCTGTTAAATGTTTTTTTTTATGGTTAAGTAAGCTTTTATTTCAAGGTATGCATCCTAAGCTTTCACTTCTTCTTTTTAAGCTCCACACTTGTGATGTAGGAATCATAGTGTAGGATTCATTTTGGCGTTCCCTTGAGTCTTGGCTTTGCACAGTTCTGGTTTGTGTGCCAGCATGTGGACGTTTGTTGTCACGGCATGATTTGTTTGTTTTTTATACTTGCAGGGAGAAACAGTGGTGCTGGTGCGGCGAGTGGACTCCAACTGGTTTGAGGGCCGCATGGGCACCAAGCGTGGTATCTGTCCTGCTGCATACCTTGAGGTCATATCGGAGCCCCAAGAGATAGGTACATCTGCACTTCACTTGATGGTAGCAGGTTTTCAATGTGGCAGCCTACCTTACCTGTATCAACTAATACGTGCAGTTAGAGGCACATTTATAATAACAGCCAGAAATGTTGTAGGCCCGTGTGCTCAGATTTGGGTGCACGTTAAAGAACCCCAGGTGGTCAAAATTTCCGGAGCCCTCCATCACTGCGTCTCTCATAATCAAATGGTGGTTTTGGGACGTTAAACCCCACATATCAAATCAATCAGAATAACTGCCAGGTTGGCGTGTCCTAATAGGTTCTTGATTATTAAACGCTAAAAGAAAGAGAGCCTTTTATTCTTCAGAGCTCTCTGTTCCTTTTATCACTTCTTTGTTATGGAGGCACTCTCGCTGCATACGAGAGTTTAACTGGTATAACTGTGGTTTAGGTGCACGAATAAACACAAAAGAACACAGGACAAGTGCTTGTCCTGTGTTCTTTTGTTTGTGCGCTTAAAGCCGTGTTCTCTTTCCGATTTCACTACCACCTTCTAGAATACTGTAGTAAGGCGGGAATTTAAAAAAAAAAAAGGAAATGTGCTTAGGGTCACGCTACTCTCCACTCTTTCCCTCGTGCCATCCCTCCCGGCTTAGCTTCCAGCATTCTTGTTGGGACAAGAGAAAAGAAGGCAACTACAGAGTGCAACAAATCTCTAACTCAGCTTGTACTTGATGGATTCTTAAAATTTTTTTTGGTGGTCGAATCGTGAGGCAATAAAGTCCTTTAGTGAACCCATTCAGTGATTACTTGTAAAAGTATACTGGAGCCTTTTTAAAGAAAACGGGATGACACCTGGTTCGATGGAAATTTTATTTGATTCGTCTAGCTCACGGAGTCCTTCGAACAGGTCTGTAGTGATGCCGTCAGTCTTGGGCGACTAACCTCTAGTCATTCTATCCACGATTGTGACAGCTTGCAGTGCTTGAATGTCTGGAAAGCCTAGCTGAACTGTTTGCGAACACACCACGTACCATTTTCTGCTCTACTGTCCAGCCTCTTGATCTCAAGATAGCCCAGAAGGTACCCAAACGACTAGCAGCTGCACTCTTCTTGAGGGTCAAGACGCGCTGATATTTCAGATAATGTGCTCAGGTACTACAGAGCATGACTGTCAACCATGAATATGAGCAGTGATCTATTGACTTCAACGTCAACATACTTGGCCCGGTGCCGGTCGACCGCTCTCACCTTGTTCAGTCCCCAGCCTACTTTGAGGGGGACACCACTCCGGAGTGTCCCTTCTTTAGGAACCTGTTACATAGAGCTCATCGAGCTAGGTATTATGTTCTCAGGTGGCCCACACTGCTGCAGAAATGACACTCGCCCACTGAGGATGATCACCTTCTGGCCTTTACCATGGACAATTGATCTTTGTCTTTCTTGCATCCACAGAGACCACCGAAGAAACCACGCCCACATTGAGAGAGTTGCCTTCAATACACTCCTTCTCAGAGTCTTCTTGTTAGCTCGCTTGGATCAAAGTTTTTTTGAGACTGAGTTTTGAGCACCTGCACAGTTTGTCAGACAGATTGCTGTTTAGCAAGCCAACTACTAAACAATCACACACTAGCTGCTCTTCGACTTCTTTTAAAGGGTAGTTTCATTGCTGAGCTTTAACCCGAAACGTGGTGTAAAAAATTAGGGAATCTTAAAGCTTCGCCTCTAGGAGTTGAACATGATAGCGACATCCTGTTCCTAGTGCATATTTCAAACACTTAGTGCATGAAACCTTTCCGAACTTTTCATACGTGACCTTAAGGGAATAGGTGCAGTAGCGTGTGTGCCTATTGTAGTAGGGTACAGAATTTCAATCATGGAGCCATTATGATATTCACATATTCTGATGTCCGTTGGCAATGGACGTTTGTACCACACATTATTACTGCAATATTTCATGTATTGTGAAGCATGTATACAGGACGCGTGTTGTGAAGCATGAAAGCTACTTTCATTGCATTTCCAAGTAGAGGAACCTCTTTTCACATTTTTCACAAGCAGAGGCGTAGCCTTGTAATAGAACACCTACTTGCCACGCAAATGACCCGGGTTTGATTTCCACTCAGACCCAAACAACCCTGGTTTGGAGCTCAGTCTGCTCCATGATTTTTATCATTTATTGTTCGCATCGTTCTCGATTTTCTCGTCACGCATAAGATGATGATTTTTCACTCGCAACCAACGACACCGTCACCGGAATTTCTGGGAAACAAGCTCTTTAACGCGATTTCTCCCATTTCCGTGAAGTGAATCATGACGAGTGAGTGGGGTCCTAAAGTTTATAATGTCTATGTTGAAGTCACCGACTAGTATGAAGGGTGCTTGTGGGTGGTTTATAATGTTTTCACAATCATGATTGTTAAACTTTTTTTGTGTGTCTCGCATATATTTCGACTATAGCACTGCGCACAAACACCAAACGGATAGACAAGCCTCACCCTTAAGGTGCTTCACCCCTAAAAGCGTCTGTTGACTAATTAGGTTGTTGTACCCTGCAGTGAGACCTCATGCTTCCATGCAGCTCATTAGCCAGATAGATGAATTAAGAGTTCAACTTGCCAATGATTTGCTTGAAATCTACCATACCGGTCTCTGAAACTTGCAGCGAGAATTTCTTTTGTCTGCAAACCCATGGTGTGCAGCAGTCTGTGGACAGCCACTTCTTCATTGGCAGCGAATAGGCCCGATGCATAGAGGTAATCTTTGAACTGTATGAGCCAATATTTTCATTGCGCCGAGTTGCCAAAATCGAAGGGCGGTGGAGGTCATATGCTTCAGGCTTTCGTTCCGGCGGAGGTCACAGGCTGCGGCTTCTGTTCCTGGCTGCCTGCGGTTCTGACCTGTCACTACTTTTTGCACCCTCGCCAGTGACTTCAGGCGGCTGGCTGCTGCACGCTATCTGCAGTCGCACCTCATATGTTCTCGGCTTCCAACTCCTCCAGGTTGGGGAACTTCAAGCAAGCTGGCTGCTGCCCATTGTGCAGTCTTGCCGCTTTTCTCCTGGGCTGTGGACTCTCCATAATTTGCTGTAATTTCTGGTGGAACTGTTGTGTGGCCGACCTGGAACTCTCCTGTCGAAGGGAGCAATAACATAGCCTCACCATGCTGTGTGGCTCCCTTCTTTTGTCCAGGCCTTTGTGGAGATGGAGACAACATTGCCCTTTTTGATCATTGCCCCGTTGGCCAGCCCCCTTGCGGCTGAACTGACCTTGTTACCTGGCCTTGTACAGCCTCTTTCACTGGTTAGCCTGAGGCTTAAGGAGAGAGCAATGTGAAAATTGAGCACGCCCCTCCCTTTGGTGCTTCGTCCCCCAGCTAGCGAGAGTGCTTGCCCCGTGCTGCTCGAGTGACGGAAACCATTATTGATCAGCGACATGGCCACTGTGGCTTCGCTGCCAGGCCTTTTTGTCTGGTGCAAGCCATGTGCCAGACTTCCCTGCACAGAGACTTGTCTCCAAACATGCACGGACAATGCTTTCCTAACATGCTATGCTAGCACACGCTACAGTGCTTCACCGATCCTCATTGGCTGCCTGTGACAGCCCCCTCTTCCATTATCTTGCGTCTGCCCGACGCCCGCTCACTACAGTAGGTGCTCACCAGCCTGCATGAGAGGCAGAGAGTTGTTTCTCAAGCTGGTGGCTTCTCATCCATGTGTTGTGTGATAGCCGTAGCGCCTGCTGGCAAGTGTGCACTGAGTCAGTGTTGCAGAGCTTTTCCATTGGCCCGCAAGCTTGTGATTGTTGGCCTGGGCTGTATCTTGGGTTCATAAACTTGTGTTTCTTAACGACTCGCCTCGTGTGCCTTATCTGCGCCGTGTCAGAAAATAGACAAACCAGGCCGTGGTGTCTTCGCGCGTGATTTTAGTGGAGAACATCGCGTCATATCCCAGTCGCTTCGAAAGCTAAGCTTTCCTAGCAAACCTATCTCCATAAGGTTTGTGGATTTGCACTTGCTGGTGCACTTGGCGAAGTACCATTTATCTTGACACTGTTGTTAATGCCGTGCCTAGACAATCACTTTGATCGCACCAGCATATTTTATGCCCATCACACACCAGCTGGCATGTCCATCCTCCGTTGTGGTAGAAGCACGCCCATTTCTGACACCATGTTGTAAGCGTACAGCAGAATTTGTAGGAAGGCGCATCCCCAAGTAACCTTATTTTTGTGTCTTTTATACACATCCAACAAATAGTATCGACAGACAACTGAGATAAGTTATTCGTAATAACAGTACGGTTAGAAACGTCCTCCACATAGACACCCTTTACACCCCAGTCATCCTGCTGTGGACTTGTCACTCGTTTGTGATTGATTGTGCAACTGAATTCTTTTTTTCTTTCTTCATTGTATATAAAAGCTCATTTCTATTTTTTACAGTGTCAACGACTGTGTCACCCAAGCCATCTTCAAGTCCTGTGTAGTGAGTAGCCATTTGCAATGCATCAGTGTACTTTTTTTTTTTTTATTCAGAATTGAAATACAAGTGATACAAGTGCATGTGTTATGTACAAATACAGAAGGAGGTCTCAAAGTCGCGAGAATGTGAGTGAGACCTCCTATAAAATCATACATGAGAGATACAATGCAATAGTAAAGAGTGGTAAGGAAAGAAAACTGAAGGTATACAAAATGTACAGATAAGCACGAAATAGCGAACGTAAGTTATAAAAAATGTACAGCTAAGCATGCAAAAACTAACACGAAAATGCAATAACATTCACTCTATATAATATCAAGCATTATTACGGTAAGGATAGAAAAATTAAGATATACAAAATGTACAGATAAACACGAAATAGCGAACATAAGTTATACAAGGTGTACCGATGAGCACAAAAAACTAACAGAAAAATGCAATAACATTCAGTTCATATAATATCATGCATTAAGAATTTAATAGGTGCCAACGCAAGCCTTTTTTAAACATTTCGAGAGATCTATTTTTGATCTCCAAAGGTAAAGAATTCCACAGTGAAACAGATGAAAATTTTGTGGTAAACTTGCCATAATTAGTCCTAGGTTTGGGTAAAAGGAAGTTATTAGCCTTTGCAAAACGAGTCGATGACACCTGGGGAAACTGACTTGAGTGTAGTAAAGGAATCGGAAGTTTTCCATTCACATATTTGTGAATCACATATACCGAGAAAATATTTAGCCAGCTTCTGAACTGATAAAATTCCATGCGAACAGAGTAAGGATGATGCATTGGACATGAAGCCATTGAACGTTATTATTCTCAATGCTTGGTTTTGAAGATGTTGGATGGCTGATAAATGAGTGGCATACGTATTTCCCCATGATGAAATGCAATAGATTATGTTGCTGTGAAAGAAAGCATAGTAAAGTGACAACAATATTTCAAAACGAAAGAACGGGCGAACATTTAGAAATATTCGAATGGCATATGCGGCTTTCCGCGTAAGCTCTAAAACACGTGAACTAAACTTTAAATGTTCATCTAATTTGACCCCGAGAAACATTGTACTAGAGGTAGAATGAATTTGAGTATCGCTTACGAAGACAGAGGGGTTCCTAGGTATAATTCGATTAGGTGACGAAAATACAACAAAGTTTGACTTTTTAGCATTTATGTTTAATTTATTCTTATTGAACCATTTAACTATATTTGTCAGGTCGGTATTTAGTTTAAACAACATTGAGTCAACGTCTGTATCTGTAGTTATATAGTGGTATCGTCCGCATAGAGTATACAAGATGAATGTGCTAGACATTGAGGAAGATCGTTTATATAAATTAAAAATAAAAGCGCGCCCAAAATTGAACCCTGTGGAACACCGATGTTTATGGTTTGAGGGTTGGAAAAGGTACCGGACACATATACCACCTGTTCTTGATCACGCAGATAGTTACGAATTAGTTCTAGTGGGACGCCAGATACACCAATTGATTCTAGCTTCTGAAATAAAATGTCGTGCGAAATAGAATCAAATGCTTTTGAAAGGTCAAGAAAAACGCCTCCAACAACACTACCGCTGTCAATAGCATATTTAATTTCCTCTGTTAGCGATATCATGGCGAGTTCAGTTGAGTAACCGGGCCTGAAACCAAACTGTTTGTTAGAATGTGAAACTTGGCTAGATAGCACCGTAAACGTCCCGCAAAAAGCTTTTCTATGACCTTACTGAAGAATGAAATAATTGATATAGGCCGGTAATTGGAGATTAAACGTTTGTCGCCTTTTTTAAAAACGGAAATAATTTTTGCTTTTTTCAGAGATGTAGGGAAGAACCCAAACTACTCACCTGTCATTTACACTCACCTGTCATTTACAATTCCTTTTTTTTCACTGAACGTGGGGATTTCTTAAAATTTCGCGACAATTTGCTGCCACTGCTTTTTATTGGAGGAGCTTTTTTCTCTTTCCTTTAATATGTTCGAATTGATTAATAAGCTGTGCTGCATTAAATCTTTGCTGATATATAATTTAAGCACCAGACTCTCAGCCATTCAGTTTTTCATCACTGTGGCAAATACTGTAATTGATGAAGTTTTCAGCTCACTTCGTTATGAAAAGATCTTTTTATTTTTCTGATGTTAAAAAAAAGTAAAATAGCCAGAGTTCTTGGTTACAACAGCAGTGGTCTAGTGGCTAAGGTAGTCAGCTGCTGACCCGCATGTCGCGAGATCAAATCCCGGCTGCAGCGGCTGCATTTTCGATGGAGGCTAAAACGTTGTAGGCCCATGTGCTCAGATTTGGGCACACGTTAAAGAACCTCAGGTGGTCAAAATTTTCGGAGCCCTCCACTACAGCGTCTCTCATAATCATATGGTGGTTTTGTGACATTAAATGCCACATATCAATCAGTTTATCATGGTTACAACAGTGAGCAGTGCAAGTGATGTGGATGTAAGAAAGACACAGAGACAAGGGAAAGCATTGCATGTGTGCCTGTTTATTTTATGCCCATCTCTTCAGCACTGTCTTGTTTTCAAATTAGTGCTAGTGAATGTTTTTATGTAAGCGCAATTAGAGATGTCAAAAAATGAAACTGTGTCTGTGGCAAATTTTGTGCATGATAGCCGTAGTGCAGTAGATCCTTCTGTGGTGTTTTCAGTAGTTGGTTTTCTAAGAATGCTTCAGATGGGGCAGTGGTGGTGCACAAACTTTTTTCTTGCTCTCTAAAAATGATCTGTTTAGTGCGACAGATAGTTATCTCAAGGCACAGATAGCAGAAAAAAATATAAATGTGGTGATAATTAAAATTATTGAATGTATACTTTAAATAATTTTGAGGCTCATTATAGGAATTGAACCTCAAATGATACTGTTGCCTCGCCTTTTATGTTGTTAAGTAGCACTCTTCAGATGTTTACAATTGCTGGTTTAATGGTTACGTCATTTCACAGAAATATATTCAATAGGCTTGTGCAAACAGTGAATTTGAGGTTCGCAGCAAATTCTAAGCGAATGGTGATTTTTGTCAAATAATTTTTAATTGAACTTGAATAGTATATATCACATATTATAAAGGAAAATGGGCATATTTGTCATCATTCAACTAACCTGCACATTATTACTTTTTTTTATTGCCCCGTCACGGTGGTCTAGTGGCTAAGGTACTCGGCTGCTGACCCGCAGGTCGTGGGATCGAATCCTGGCTGCGGCGGCTGCATTTCCGATATAGGCGGAAATGTTGTAGGCCCGTGTGCTCAGATTTGGGTGCACGTTAAAAAACCCCGAGGTGGTTGAAATTTCCAAAGCCCTCCACTACGGCGTCTCTCATAATCATATGGTGGTTTTGGGACGTTAAACCCCACATATCATCATCATCATTTTTTTTTTTTTTTATTGTAACTAGGCCTGAGCGAATTCCGATCTAATTAGTTGAAAGGAAGTGAAAGCAACCTTGAACAGTAGCAGAATTTGACTTCGGTAGAATGCGAATGATAACCTGCAACATATGTTATGTTTTAAAATGTACTATATTTACAGCATATAAAACTGTATAACAAGCTTATAAGCTTAAAAGATAATGAATCGCTGTGAGGGTTATATGTTCATTTAACCTTGAAGTGGGGCTTTACAGAGTGCGGATTTTTCATGGATAGGTGCTTTCACGGCTGAGCACTTCTCTTGCTGCAGTGAAACCATCTTTCTAGGGGGCTACATGCGGATTAATGTCATTCATTTTGATTATGCTTCAAAATTCTCAGCAATTAAAATTCGAATCGAACTCAGTTTGAATATTTAAGGCATTCGAACATTCACACCAGCCTAATATTCAGATCTCTCAAGTGTGCAATTAAAGATCCCACTTAGTCAACTGTGTGCCAAGGCACTCTATTGTCTCTTTTATTTAACGCCATAAGTAAATTGAATCTGTTGACATACAAGAGCACTTTTCATAAAAAAAATGTCCCATTGAATGATGCAGATTTTTTGGCCACAAGTTTTATTGCTAAACCAGGGCACAGCTTAAGCTTGGCGACATGTTCAAACAAAGCGTGAGCTTCTTCTGGCGTAGTAAATTCTGTAAAATGACTTCTTTCCTTTCAAATGTACTTCAACGATGACACCTTAATCTAAATTAGGATGCAGCACTTCGATCTTGACTAGCTTTTTAATGCTAATCTGCTTGCTGTGGCTTCAGCAGCGTAAAGTTTGAATTTTTTATATACAGTCGAATCTCATTAATTCAAACACGCTTAATTCGAACTTCCAGTTAATTCGATCTCACACTGAGATCCCGTCAAAGCTATGTGTATTCCAATGGGCAAAAATGCCCTGTAATTCAAACACGCAAGCACTTGCGACGGTAAATTCCAACATACCACGCTCCGAAAATGCTCTCAGCACCACGCCCAATCCCGTGGCAGCACCTGCGACACCTCAATGCTGCACACGAAAGAATAAGAAAGGAAAGACAATGCTGCCGTGGAATGTTTGCTCTCTCTCAAATGCCAACCTATGACGCGCCTGTGCCAGGCTTCTCTCTTTTTCGTCCCTACCCTGCATGGAGGAAGGAATTCCTTCCTCCATGCTGCCATGTAAAGACCCTTTTCCTCTTAACACCCCACGCAAAAAGAGAGAGGAAAAAAGAAAAAAAAACAAAGCTGTCGCGGAGTGTTGGCTCTCTCTCACAGGCCGGTGTCATGCTTCCGGGAACCCTTTCCCGTCCCTGCCATGTAGACCCAAGAGAGCAAGAAAAAAAAAAAGAATAAGCTGCCATGGAGTGTTGGTTCTCTCTCAAATTCCGATCTGCTTCGCTCCGCATGGAGACGCTCTTCCTTTCTCGTCACGTACTGGGCTTGCTGCGGTAGCGGTGCAGAGGGTAGCAGCGTAGATGCAGTCATTGTTGTCGTCCTTAGAGACAGGCACTGAGTTGTGCTCCCACAAGGGCTGCAGAAGATATTGCCTTTTTCCATTCCTTCAACCGCACATTCATTCTGGAGAATTCTGAAATCAAAGTAGAGACGCTTTGCAAGCTGTGTGCGAAACTGCCTCGCTGCAAGGCAAACATGTGCAGACTTGCATCTCCGATTATTTCAATTAATGACCGATGTCCTGTGAATTGTGAATAAATGTAAGTCTCCTTAAACTTCTGCCTCGTGCGTTAGCTTAATGTGCATGTGCCACTGCATGGTGAGCCCTTCGTTCATTTAGGTTTCATTAATTTTTTCAAACTTTTTTTAATTCGAACAAATTTTCGGGCCCCTTAGAGTTCAAATTATCGAGATTTGACTGTATAATGAAACTTTGACACATTTATAGTTCCATTCCACTTTTGTTCATGCTTGCGGCATCTTGAGGTCAGCAAATCACAAGAGCCAACCTGAAATTAGTATTTCATTTGTCTTTACAGCATCCGGTGTCTGATTACGTCGCCTTCTTGCTGGCTCTTGCTCGGCCATGACTTCATTTTTTCCCTTTGCTCTCTCTCACTCTGCTGTGCATATTGGCACTCTGAGAAATAACATTGGAACAGTGTCCTTAGTAAAATTAGGTAGGCACTGTGGTGGGATTTGCACAGTTTCACCATTAAGTGTCCTGTTCTGTGATCTCTCTATGAAGCATTGCTCAAAGTGCCACTCACATATTGTGCAGGCTTGATTATGCTCCCTGTAAGTTCTCTGAATAACTTGAGACCGGAATTCACAGCGTTCGAGTTCTTTAGAAACACGAAAAAAAAAGACCCCCGTTCTTTGCAGTATTGGATAACCACTCTTGCAGCCTGGTACAAAACGGGTTGTGCCCCTCTTGTCTCGCTTCCACTTCATGTCCTCTGGTTGGTAACTTTCTTCGCACGTACAAGATGCACTTCAATCAGAGCAACAAAGTAAACGTACACTTATGGGAAGAAAAAGCCTATAGCCTGGGGAGCACCATTGAGAATCTTGCAAACATCAGCTACATTATAGCAGACAATCACGAAAAACACTGGCATCATTCAGTGATGGTCTTCTGCTCTTATTACCATCTGCAAATTTTATTTAATAATTTTAACAAACAAATATGTCTTTTTATTGCATAATGAAAACGTGCACAAAAAAAAATCTTTACCGTCTGCATTATTTGCAGACGACGCTCGACATAACCAGTGAAACCAGACAATTAGAAACATAGTGCCATGTGTTACTGTTTAGTTTCCTCGTGTTGCCTAGTACGTTGAAAACTTTGAAGCAGTCATGCTATATCGCATTTTGAGTTCAGGTACACATGTGGACTTCACTTCAAGTGAGTGATTGCGGCAGTGTTTACTGCCACAACTGCACTCTGTATGCAGGCACATTTAACTCTTCAAAGGAGTAGTGACATGAATTCGAGGCACCCCAAAAGATGAATTTTTCTTTGCCACGGTGTGCTCTATCAAAGTTCTCCGCACACCAAAGTCAGACAACATGTAGAAAATATTTTAGTTTGTCTTCAAAGTTCGCTGCTCAGCATGGTCAAGCCAGCCCCACCACAATGGACATTATCGTGACAAGTAAGCACAGTTCACTGGGTTTTAGAAAAATTTTGTCCTGTGTGCACTCTAAATCGCAGAAATCGCTCTCACAGTCTCTGGATGACAAGTCAGTCGTGTCTGTGAACCATGGGCGACTGACAGCAAGCTAGCTGTTGTGGTATATTGCAAGTTGGTCTTCCCGTGATGTCGGACCACTCTCGACACGTCACAGCAAAGCCACCCTCTCCATACCAAAAATGAAATTGTTTTTTTAAGGCAGAAGTAATTAAGATGTATTCAGTGACTTCCCAAGCACCATGGCACTCTTTTTAGGATTTCCAATACGTACCTGTGTTTTTATTCAAAGCAACAACCTGGGTAAGATTGAACAAAGCATACATGGTCGACCTGTTAAATTTCTTTCAAAATTTTATATATTCTTGCCTGGTCAGTGGAAAGAGCAGGTCTGTAATTGGTTTTGCTGTAAAAAATTTTTTCGAAACACAGTAAATTAATAATGACGAGGAAGTGGAGTGCCACGCTTACCTGCTCAGCTGTTTTTTTTTTTTTTCGAATTTGGGGATGAATTACACGAAATATATTAAAGCAACGTACCTCATATTTGTTTACCTAAATATATGTGTACTTGCACTTACGACCAAATATGTTTCGATTCACTGTGTAGTTTAAATTTTTTTCAATAAAAGTTATCAAATTTGAGCTAAAAATCACTTTTTGTCTAGTTTGCAGGCCTTTATTTCAAAAAGGGCAGATGAGGGAGCAGTGAAAATTTTGTATTACTTTCTTGGCATGCTTATTTGTGAAACTGCCAAAGCTTATATTAATAACAATTTTCAATCAAAAGACATAATCGTGCTAACTTCAAGAAAAGAGCATGCAAGGGAAACTTCTGACGACGATTAAAAATAAAACCCATTTTTGATAGTTGTTATACTTTCCCCACTTATTCTCCTGCACATCAGCTATCACAATAAATGAAAACACGTTGCATTATATGCTTTTACTTGCAGTTATGGCCCATCCAAAAATGCCCTTGCGTAAGGATAGGCAATGGTAGATCGGACTTCCTGCCTGCTTAGTATGGAATACAGACCTATACATCAGTTTATTATAGGGCAAGCACCACTAAAATAGCTTTCGACTGCACTGCGGCTGCCAATTTCATAAATTGCTGCATAAATTCAAATTTTGTACCGTGGTCTATTAGAAACCGTGGTGCCAAGAAACCAATAGTTCTATTAGAACTATTAGAAACCATGGTGCCCCACAGGTCGCATCATCGCGAAAGCGACCACATTGCTCCCATCGGTTTCTGCCGCAGACTGCACACTAATCTATTCCAGTAGACCATAGCACACTTACCGACACATGGGCCATGCTTTCTTCTCTTGACACTCTTGACAGCATGGTTTCTAATAGTTCTGGCGTCGATGACTCTATTTGCGTCAATGAGTATGTGCATGAAGAGTTTAACGATGTGAGCAAAACGAATACAATCAATCCCGGATATATCGAACTCGAAAGAGATCACTAAATAGTTCAATATATCGAGAATTTGAAATACAAAATATGCATATTTAAGACATAAGTTGAAGAATTTCAGGCCTCTGAAATTGTTACAAGAGCTAAGATAACGATTCGCTCAAAAACAAGGTGCAAACTGCAGGTTGCCATACTTTATTTAGTCCGTAAGCTTGTCTTGCTTCTTGCGCGCTATCAAGTTCCAGTCATCCTTAATATCATTGCAGCTTTTCAAATAAGTGAACTTAGCACCTTCGGTCACAACGTTGGTTGATGCAGAACGCCGATGCAAGCTTTATAGCGCGGCCAAAGCTTGGTTAGCAGCGGCAGCGAAGGCATTTGCATATTCATCATACACGCACGAGTACACTTACGCGGCACCGGCAGCCAAAATCTCAGCATCGATGCAGTCAGAAACAGCAACATCGTCATCTGTACCGGTGAAGTTGCTGCTGTCCGAGATGGTGCCCGGAAATGCTGATAAATCGCAGAATTCACTGAGGCACTGTGCGCCGTTGTTAGCGGTCATGACGCCCTCGAAGTCATCACCTGGCCCGCAAGGAACATTTACAACAGTGTTTTACTTGACGTCGCTCCAAGCGCCAGTTATAATTTTTTCGCTACGTGCGGGTCAACATTTCGTTTAGCTCCCGAATGAGGATTTATCAGGAACGAGGCGAGAAGTGCACAAAACCACAAGGCGCAAAAGACGCAACGCCGAGTTCATCAGAGTTCTCACCATCAAGATGTTGGTGATATTGATGTCACTATAGCTTTGTAGCTGGCAACCGCTGCTTTTAGCGGCTTTGATGCGGAAAAATTAAAAAAGGGTAGCCTTCGAGACACATGTTTTGAAGCCGTCAACACTAAAAATATGTGACAAGGTAGCACATTTCGAAGGCCATGCTTTTCAGAATTGCATGCCATTGTGCGCAAACAACAAGAAAGGGAATGCGAACCACATGCGAACATTGCACTGAGATCACCGAGTCACTTCCCATTCTCATTTCGGTGCACTCGGCAATCGGTCTTTTGGAAAACATTGTTTGTGTGCGAAGACCTGCAGATCGTGCCTCAATTGTACAGATGTAGCAAGTGCCGCACACCGAACCAGATCAGCACGATGGAATAACACCCGTTTTTTTCGTCGCCTGCGTGCGAGAAAGGGTCGGAACTTGTTAGAACGCGGCTTAAAATTGATCAACATTTGCTAGGAAAAATGCACTTTCTGGGCTTCGGCGTGGCGCAGCGTTTCTTGTAGCGGATGTCCCGCTGTGCGGGAGTTAGATATACGGTTGCACCGGTCCCATACTTTTGCATGGGAAGTTCAAGGACATTTTTCAACTGTTCGATACAGCCAATAATTCGATATGTCCGAGTTTGATATATGCGGGATTGTATGTAATGCTGAGGACCAGGGTGCAAGCCACAAGGAGAATCCTTCCAACCGGGCATGTTTCACACAATTATTTCAGACATTCTAAACACACAATCGTGTTGCAGTACACCTCTTGCTGCACAGCAAAGAAAGAAACTTTTAACGATAAACATTCTTTTTTTTTACTGTTCATGTTCTTGCTTGTGTTATTTAGCGATAAAGAAATTCTCGCTGTCATGAAATTTTCTTATTTCTCTGCCAATTTTGTTACTGCGGGGTTCGACTTTGTTCATTTCTCTTCTAAGTTAGTTCGAATAGGTGCTGTTCAGCGGGATCGGGAAGAACCTCTTGCTGCACAGCAAAGAAAAAAACTTTTAACAATAAACATTCTTTTTTTTTCTGTTCATGTTCTTGCTTGTGTTATTTAGCGATAAAGAAATTTTCGCTGTCATGAAATTTTCTTATTTCTCTGCCAATTTTGTTACTGCGGGGTTCGACTTTGTTCATTTCTCTTCTAAGTTAGTTCGAATAGGTGCTGTTCAGCGGGATCGGGAAGAAATGTATGGTCTTTCTGTTCTAATGTGGATGTAGATGTAAAAAACTAGTTTAAACTTGCTCTGCCACACTGAGGTTTTCAAAGCAGGAACTGCCATTTATAATTAAAAAGTTGACAGAACATAACGAGTGTTTAAACATTCTGCACCGCTCTTACATTAGCTGTGATATTTCTATTAATTCCAAGCAACTATGTAAAACTCCTCTAATGGTCCTTTATTGAATCAGCATTTTTAAATATACCAGTACAAGTGAAGGCTTATGCAACGTTTTTTGCCTACTCTTATCCCATTGCGACTAGCGGCCCCATTGTGAGTGATGGCCGGCCCGACAGGAATCCAGCCAGATACAGCCCACAGGTGAGGCCCTTTGCCATCTACACTCGTTCAAGTGTTTGAGTGTCTTTATGCCTCACCCCTATTGTGCTAACTTGAGAAGAATGAAGATCTGCAACAAAATGAAGTTTGAATGATAATTGATGGTAGCACAGACAAAGGACATGGACAAAAGAAGGCACATTGTCTGCGCTACCATCCATTATCATGCAACCATACCGACAAGCCCAAATCACCACCCTCGACGAAGTTGGAATGGTCTTACGCAATTCTGCAAGTCAAGTTTAGCCCGTGACTTCAGGAGAAACTGCTTGAACAATTAGTAATTTTCTATTGAGTTGTTGGCTACAGTGCACCAAAGTTACTCTGGCAAGAAGTCTGTCTCTTATAGATCAGCTGTGTCCACATGCTCTGGATGTTTAATAACTTGTTTATTTGCCAGGTATCTATGGGTTCAAGACCAAGCAAAAGGGCAAAATGTTTTTTTTATTCTCGGGTTGTTTGAGCACTTCAAATATTCAAATTAATATTATGGGACCAGAGTTTGTCCTAATTAGAAATTTCCAAGATTCTTAAAAATGTTCTAAACTTATGACTGCACATATTCTATCACATGTAAACCACCTGAAAAGGTAGTGTTCCTTTGAAATGGCAATACTGTGCCGTAAACCACCTATTCTTTATTCTTTATTTATTCTTTATTCAAAGGTTACCCCACATTGCCCAAAGGCATTACAGCAGGGTGGTTACAGAAACGACATAAACAATTCTTCATTTTTACAGCACACTTGCATGGCAGACAATTCATTCCACTCTTTCACAGTTCTAACAAAAAATGAATTCGCGGACAGGGGGTTACAGAGACGACATAAACAATTCTTCGTTCTTACAGCACACTTGCATGGCAGACAATCTATTCCACTCTTGAACGGTTCTAACAAAAAATGAATTCGCGAACAGGTTCGTTTGGGTGCGTAATTCTCTTATTTTAAAAACATGGTCAGTTCTAGATGAACGGTAATGAGGTTTCTTAAAGTATTTTTCTTTATCTATTCCTGTTTTATCATTATAAATCTGAAAAAAGAACTTCAGTCGCAGCTTTTGCCGACGCGAGGAAAGCAGTTCCCACCCAAGCTCATTTTTCATCTGAGTGCAGCGCTCCCCTCTCTTGTACCGTCCCAAAACGAACCTGGCCGCCCAATTTTGAATTTTTCCAATTTTATCAATCAATATGGCTTGCGAAGGATCCCATACGGCACAAGCGTATTCCAGTATAGGCCGTATGCATGTTAAATAGACTGTCTTTTTTAAGTTCAGTTCCGAAGTTTTTAAATTACGTTGGATAAAGTTTAGCGTCTTTCTAGCTTTACAAACCACATCATCTACATGCGCATTCCACGAGCAGTCGGATGACAAGACTACCCCTAGATAGTTATAACTATCTGCTCTTTTTAGACGTTCATTGTTTAAAGTATACTCTGTTTCCATAGGTTTCCGCTTTTTTGTAAAAGAGACATGGACACACTTTTCATTATTTGGGTTCCTTTTCCACGTAGAGCAACAATTTTGAACACGTTCCAAATCAGTTTGCAGTTGGGTAAGGTCTCCGTCATTCTTTACTTGTCTATACACAACACAATCGTCTGCAAACAATCTAATATGTGATGAAATACCTGCTGAAATATCATTTATGTAACTAAAAATAAAAGTGGCCCTGAAACTCAACCCTGTGGAACTCCCGATGTCACATCAACATAATCAGAGCTTTTGCCGTTTAAGATGACGCATTGCCGGCGCTGGCACAAATAATTTTCAATTCAATTTAGGACAGCAGAATCTATATTTAGTCGTTTAAGTTTTTTGCAAAGGAGTGAATGTGTTACCGTGTCGAATGCCTTGCAGAAATCTAAGAAGATGCAGTCAGTTTGCCCTCCTGAATCAATGGTGGATACCAGATCATGATAAAATTCAACTAGTTGTGTGGTGCACGACAACCCCTTTCGGAACCCATGTTGAACACTAGTTAATAGTATATTGTTTTCAGTGAGGTGTTTCATTATTCCAGAGTAGAGAATGTGTTTCATTACCTTGCACACTATTGATGTTGAAGAGATTGGCCTGTAATTCCCGGCATCCTTTTTCGATCCCCCCTTGTGGATTGGAACAACACGGGCAGTTTTCCAATCAACTGGTAGGAGGCCTGATTTCAAAGATTGTTTATAAGTTATGTGCAAGTAAAGAGAGATTGGTTCGGCGCACCGTCTCAGAATACGCGGAGAAATCGCATCTGGGCCAGTTGCTTTCGTTTTGTCTGTTTGCTTTAATAGCTTTTCAATGCCACTTACGCTGAACTCGATTGGGTTCATTGAAGGTATGCTACTGGCGTCGACCGAATAGGCAAAGTCCTGTATTGGCAAAAAGATAGATTTAAAATAGTTGTTCAAACAATTTGCCTTCTCTTCATCATCTGCGATAGTTTTGTTATTATAAACAATTTCATTTATACCGACTCTCTCAGAACCGCAACTCTTGATATATTGCCAGAAATGCTTATGATTTGCTCTCAGCGTGTCATTCAATTTTTTAAAATAGACGCCTTTGGCATTTTTCATACCTTTTTTACATTCTTGCGCAATCTGAAATAACTTTTGATAGTGGCTAGTCCGTTTAGTTCGTTTGAATTTAGCGAATAACCGCTTTCTATTATTGATTAGCCGCAACAGACAAGACGTCATCCACGGCTTTCTTCGTTTTTTCATTTTGGAGGAATTTGCGCTTGGCACATGTGCCTCAACGAGTTCAAGTAGCTTATTTTTGAACAGACACCACAATTCATGCACATCCTTATCATCTGCCGGGCATTCAAAGACTGGTAGATAACTATACAACTTTTCATTTATGCTAGAATAATCGCCTCGGTCAAAGAAGAATACTCTTCTATTCCCGCTGTGCTTCACGCGATGAATTTCATATTTATAGATGCGACTACAGCGTGGTGGTCACTTAATCCCGGAATAACAGTTGTTGAGTTTGCAAGGTTTGGCAAGTTGCAAAACAATAAGTCTAAAATACTATTTTCACGGGTTGGCTCGGTTATATATTGTAACAGACCGTGGGTATCAATAATGCTCTTCATGTTCATGCTAACCTGACTACATTTCTGGAATACACATTTTGGTATACCAGACCTTCACTCCAGTGAAGGTCTGGGAAATTGAAGTCACCACCTACCAACATAACCTGACCTGAAACCTCAGAGATAACTTCGCTGAAAGCATGTAGTGGCGCCACGTCAGAGTTCGGTGGCCAATACACCACCCCGGCAGTAAGTGAAAAACGACAAGATAAATGCACTTTACACAACACAGCTTCCACCGCATTATGGCTGATAGCAAGGGCAGATGAGCGTAAATCAGATCGGACAAGCAAAAAAATGCCGCCACCACGACTCGGCCTATCTTTTCGATAGACAATAAAGATCTCTGGAAAAACTTTACTGTCGCTGATAGAAGGATTCAACCAAGATTCCGTGCCGAATACTATATCCGCCTTTACAGACTCTATTAAGGCCGCAAGTTCATCCGCTTTGTTACTCACGCTACGGCAATTCACAACTAGAGCAACCAGGTCGACATGAGGTGTTACCTTAAATTGGGCACTACGTCAAGGTTTTGTAACAGGAACAACTTCTTCCTTTTCTTTGTCCCACTTATAAACCCTGCCGTTTATAATAGGCTTATCATGACTTAACTTTGCTTTGTTATTTATATCTTCCTTTTTAGCTTTCGCATATTCCCACAGGCGCTTGCGCATTCTACGTGTCTCAGGCGAATAATCCTGAGCAACGCTGAAATTGGTCCCTTTAAATCTTTTGGCGTTTAGTAGAACGTCTTGTTTTTCTTTGTAACAGGAGAAATTTACAATAATTGGTCGCTTAGCCTTTCCAGTGAAACGTCCAATCCGGTGCGCTCTTTCAACCGACTTCAACTGTATTCCCAAGTTATCTTCACAAATCCGCTGAATTAATTTTTCTGACTGGTCCGAATTTTTAGACCTGTCAGTGTCGTCCACCCCATAGAAGACTAAATTTTGTCTCCGGCTTCTGTCCTCTATTTCGACCGACTTCCCCTGTAACTCATTAACTTGTTTCAGAAGGCCCTTGATTATATCTGCCAGCCTCGATACCAATTCACTGACGCCCTCTAGATGTTCCTGCGTGATAGCCAGGTTTTTACTTATTTCTGTTATCATGGTTTCGTGCTTTGCGAATTCAGTTTCAGTTGCGTCTAACTTATTCATTATCGCCGCCTGACCATTTGGCAGACTTCTCAGGCAATCTATTTGTGCAGCATCATCGTGACTTGACAAGTTTACCTGGACAATACCATCAGGACCGGGGTTTAGTTCCACGTCTCTAGCAAAGAGCAACAGCAAGATCAAATACAGCTCACTATTAGAAAAAAAGGCGAAAGCGCCTTTTGGACACCTCGCCCGGACATGTTTATCATTCACAGGAGCAGCAAACACCATCGTGGGAGGAGCCGGCAATACAACATGTTTGTTCGACTGTGAATGGAATAGTAGAGACTAACCTGCACAAACAAGAGTGATGTCAGCTGCATGTCGGCAAGCGTGCCGGCTCCAAATCCCACGAATGCGTAGTGCTGCTCGCTTATGTAGCCTTGTCCTTTGTCACGTGGTTCATTCCGTGCATAGTTGGTCGTTCGCCCGTCGCTGTCAGCGTCGCCATCCTCGGAAAATCTGCCGTGTGCGATCACCGGCAGTGCAAATGCACCACCGCATGCTGATGTGGCCCACGCGAACACCGATGTGGGCGACGACACAGGCATGGGCAGAAACGACATCTCTTCGCCTACAGCACCATTCAGGATCGTTGACCAAAGGGAAGCAAAAATCTGCACAAACAAGAGCGATGTTAGCTGCATGTCGGCAAGCGTGCCGGCTCTAAATACAGAGAAAGTATGCACTGCCACGAAGTCATACTTCAGGGTTAAGTGCTGCACCTCATTAAACTTTATTTTTAAGCTTGCAAGTGTGTTATACGACTTTATATGTGCTATGTGTGGCAAATGTTCAAATGTAATAAATTTACCACTTATAGACCTTATGCAAAATCTGCTGTCATTTATCAGCCGCCATGTACATTTCTGCAATGTTGAAGGCTACCGTAATTACTCGAATCTAACGCGGACCTTTTTTCCGGTTAAGCGAGTTCATAAATCGCATGCGCGTTAGAATCGAGTACGAACAAAAAAATTACGGTCAATCTATTGCCATCGCAAATCCAAAATGGCCGCCCCCTACGTGCGTCGGCATGGTACGTCGACTATTTCTGCCTATGTGTTTACCATGTGCGGCACTTCGTACGTGTGCTGAGGAGTTCGTCATCTAGTAGTGCATTAGCATCGACGACGTGGAAGGGCCGACTCCAAAAACTCGAGTGCACCACGATGCCGCTTTTAAAAGAAAAGTCATCGCGTGTGCAGAAACGGACGGAAATCGGGCCGCATCGCGGTCCTTCTCGAAACGTGCGTGCGGGACCGGCGGAAACAAAAGCAGAAGATTGTCGACAGCAAAGCTTCACGCAAAGGCTTCAGTGAACCACAGCAGGGTCGGTTTCCGCAAATTGAAGAGCTGCTCCGCGAGTATGTGCTTGAGGAGCGAGCGGCCCATGACGGCAGAACTGCTCCAAGTGCGGGCTATGCAATTAGTCTTAGAAAAAAGTCTAATGCGGAGCCTGTTTAAAGCGAGCAGGTGCTGGCTAATTAACTATATGAAGAGGAAAGGCTCTTCCCTCCGAAGGGGAACATGCATATGCGAAAACTTTTGCGGAGAAGTACGATGAAAAGCTTTACAGTTTTCAGAGGTTCGTCCTAAACTTGCGGCGCAACAACGGCTACCTGCTTGGGCAAATCTGGAATGCCGATCAGACGCCTCTTTACTTCGACATGCCTGGCACCACAACTGTCGAGAAGAAGGGGGCGAAGCAAGTTCGCGTGCTGACATCGGTCCACGGTAAAACTACAGTGACGGCAATGCTCTGTTACACGTCAGATGGGCACAAGCTTCGCCCGTACCTCATATTTAAATGGAAGACGCTCCCGAAAGGAGTCGTTTTTTCGAGTGGTGTGATCGTGCGGGCCAGCAAAAAAAAAAAAAAAAAAAATGGGTGCGCGTTGCAATCGATGTCTTACGTTTTTTTTTTTTTTTTTCGCGGTGGAAATCGGGTACGCGTTACAATCGAGGGCGCGGTAGAATCGAGTAAATACGGTAAGTGCGCTCTGCATGAGCGCACATGGATCGTACGACCGACGTGTGGCGGCTTATAGAAACGGCAATGCCGACATATTTCTGTGTGCCAAGCTGTTGAGATTGAGGAGATCGGGATGCTGAAAAAAAAAAAAAAAAGATTAGCCAGAAACTAACCTCAGTGTTATTTTCTTGTGGCCGACAAGAAGTGCCAGATCATTCCATTACTCTGGCTACTGCTTACGACTAACACCATGTTTACGTTCATTCTTAATAGATGCGATGGCTAACCTCCCTCTCTTTCCTCCTTCAATCTTCTTCCTCCTCAATAGATGCGATATGTGACAGCATCAGCATGCACTAGACAGCACTCTTTTGTGTGACGCTGATAGTTTTCAAGCTGTGTGCTTGGAGGCACAAACAAACTGACTTAGTGTACGAGCTTCAAAGCTGCATCTTTGCTACTCATGCATGCCTATGCTGCTGTTGACACCATTACTATGCTAATTACATTGCGATAACAATTAGATGATGGACAGGTAGCTCATGCACGTCATCGATTCTCAGTGAATGGACTGATTGTAATGAAGTGTTGTTGTTTGTACTCTGTTTTTCATTGTGGAGTTTAACAAGGTAGCGTTGGGGAGAATGCTTCGCGAGAATTAGTTGCCTATATTTCAAGCATTTGATGTGCTATGACTGCCAAATTCAGAGAGGTAGTTTGTATGGCGGGAACCCCTTACTACCTTTTCTTCACTTTTCGTCTTAATCTACGCCCCGGGAAGACCATGTAAAAAGTTTTCCCAGAAGCTTAGTCCCCTTCAGAAAGATCCTGTATCCACCCTTGTGTGTTATGAAATTAACAGATGCTTGTGTGCGGCACTTTCCCAGTGCAACTGAAAAAAAAATGCTTTTCTGGCAAATGAAGTACACATTCAACTGCGGGTACTAATATGGCTTCGCAAGCATTCAGTCGGCAACACAAAACTGTCTTGCTGCAACGACTTGAAATTGTAAGGTGCCAGTAAGCCTGGAAAGCACAGTGAAGCAAATTGGAATATTTGTGATACCCTTTCGTGCCAGTACATGACATGGAGCAATTTATTTGAATGTTTAAGGCAGCATCAAAAGCTAAAATTACAGAAAGAAGATGAAAGCAATGTTTTGGTTTTGAGTGGCTACTGCGTGTGTGCTGTGTTCAAAGTAAGCCACCGTTAACTGAGAATGTCTATATTGCACAATATGTGTGACATGCATATAAAAAATATTGTCATTATCAGTACCTATGAATGTTAATGTTCACAGGTAGACAGGTCCACTCTGCCTTGACTTTATAGAAAAGTATGGCATTGGAACTGAATATGCTGCATGAGTAAGATCATACGGCTTTCGTTTCAGAGTCTTCACAAGGAAAGCCCCTTGATGACCTCGAGTGTGTTACACGTGGACAGCTGCGAGCCTATATCGTAAGCATCAACCTGTCTCGATTGGAAAGCTACTCGCCTGCTTGCTTCACAACGTGTTGTTACACCTGTTTCGAAGGCCTAATTTGAAGATAGTTATAGCTTGAGAAAAGAACGACGACAAAGAGACAAGAAGGACACGAAGAACACGAGCGCTCATATCCTTCGTGCCATTCTTGTCTTTTTGTCGTCGTTCTGTTCTCACGCTATAACTATCGTCATGTCCATTAGTTGCTCATGGCCATTAGTTGCTCTAAACTAATGGAACATGTGATCTAGTCTAACACCGTCAAGTTCTTAAACCGCCACAACTTCTTTCATTATAGTCAACATGGGTTTCGCTCAGGATTATCCTGCGACACACAACTTGCTTCATTCTACAATGACATCAGTTCTAGCGTTGACCTAAATATACCCACCGATGCCCTCTTTCTAGACTTTGAAAAAGCATTTGACAAAGTTCCGCATAAACGGCTACTCCTCAAGCTTTTTTGCTTAAACATTAATACATCGACGTTCAACTGGATTCGTAGTTTTCTGACTAATCGGCAACAATTTGTGTACGCTAACAACCATTCATCTAACCATCTTCCCGTAATCTCTGGCGTCCCACAGGGCACAGTACTCGGACCCCTACTTTTTTTAATTTATATAAATGACCTCCCAGCTAACATTTCATCAAATATTCGCCTGTTTGCAGATGATTGCGTCGTGTACCGTCCAATAAAAAAAAACCCTACCGATATTGCTATACTTCAAGACGAGCTTAACCTTATTGAATCCTGGTGTAACGACTGGCTAATGTCTTTAAACGTAAATAAGACATCGCTAATATCATTTCACCGTAGGCAACATTATCAGCAAGCGACTTACACCATTTCAGGCTCTACAATCTTAACAGCAGAATCCTATAAATACCTCGGCGTAACATTCTCAAGCAACCTCACCTGGTCCACTCACGTTAACAACGTAGCATCCTCCGCTAATCGTGCGCTGGGTTTTCATCGTAGGAATTTAAAACTTGCTCCCTCATCAGTTAAGTTGTTAGCTTACACCACATTTGTTCGCCCTAAATTAGAGTACGCATGCTCGGTTTGGGACCCTCATCAATCTAATCTATCTAACCTTCTCGAATCTGTACAAAATCGCGCAGCCAGGTTCATCTACTCCGTGTACTCTTATCATTCCAGCGTTTCCGAACTTAAAACTCGTGGCCACCTCAACAACCTAGAATCACGTCGTCATATATATCGGCTCTGTCTTTTTCACAATTTTTATCACGCTCCTTTCAACGTTCCAGCCATCTTGCCTGCTCACCGATTATCCAGCCGTACAAACCATCCCCGAGCCGTTTATCCACCGCCAGCACAAACTACTGCCCACCTCCGCTCCTTTTTTGTTGCAACCGCCCGGGACTGGAACAACTTGCCTGCCTTCGCCATGCACCACTCCGACCCACATGTATTCAAGACCGTGATTGAATCGTTAATATGTTGCTAATTATGCCCATCCCTCTTGTAATACCCCGACTGGGGCCTTTGAGGTATACTAAATAAATAAATAAATACCAACTAGCCCAAGCTGCCACACCTGATTTAAAGCTCCAGGGAAGCATGACTCGTTTCATTTTGAAGAAAAAATTTGTCTCACATGCCATCATCTGATAGCGGAAACTTACTGGCTGCGTGCATTGTCTGTGTGGAGCAGGTACCGTGTGCTGTACAGCTACAGGCCGCAGCACGAGGATGAGCTGGAGCTTCAGGAGGGTGACACGGTGCTGGTAATGGAGAAGTGTGACGATGGCTGGTACCTGGGCAGCTCTCTGCGCACTGGCCGCTTCGGCACCTTTCCAGGCAACTACGTCGAAAGGATATAAGGTGTCTATCTCTGTAAGCAGTCATTCACTTCAAATTCACAGATGTGTTAATTTGTGAATGTGCATTTAGTATAGTGCAACCTTGTTGATACTTTTCTGAAAAAAATAAAGTGTATGGTCTGAATCCAGTAAACAGTGAAGCTGATTAGCCTATTTGTTGGTGCAGTTTAAAAAAAGAGCATTTATTTCTGAAAAAAAAAAACAATACATTTTTGTATTTTTAGCAGCCAGATATAAGCTAGCTACACTCAAACCTCAATTTAACAAACCCTGGTATAACAAAGTATTAGTTATAACTAAGTAAATTAAGAATAATCTACCAATAGATATAGTGTTAAAAATTCACCCTTATAACAAATTTTTGGATATAACACATATTTTGGTGTAACATGCAACATTGTTATAATAAGGTTTGAGTGTAGTACCAGTGCAGCACGGACGCAACTTTGTTTTCGTGTGTTGGGATATCTCGAGGCACCTGAAGAAGCCCAAAGATTCGACAATCGAATGTCGGGACAGTCAGCACAAATGTAAACAAACGCTGTCATTGTAGAAATAAATGAAACTGCCTCGTGCGAGTGTCAGTACTTTCTGCATTGCCCACTTGGAAATATAAGACCATGTTTTCCAAAGAGCCAGAGTAGTATCTTCGAGCATATGCAACCGGGATATGGTAACATATGTTCAATAAATCACGTGGGATTAGGCTCCATCGATGAATCGAACTACCACGCTGCTACCGGCTTGACAAATCTATTCTGTCCAGGGGCTGTGATTGTCACCGTATAACATGATGCGAAAGTGATGTCTCAAAAAAGCAACAGCTGCTCGCAAGTATCCCGTACTACGTCGCACACACATGCTAACAGTGTTCTTTCTCTTGACACATGTGGCAATATGTTCGCCGCCTTTTGTTCTCGCATCCTCTCTTGCGGCGTAACAGCGTTTAGAAGATAATGCCAAGCTTAAAAGCACCCTAAGGTGAAGTCCCCGAATGCCCTTATTGCAATCCGTGGAGTCCTTGCAAAGATGGCGACGAGTGCGCATAGTCACTTTTTGGTGTCTGATAGCCAGAAACCTTTCAGAATTCTTCTGGAACAAAATTGGCATGGCCACAGAAGAAGGAAAGAACTGCCAGAGTGCTGTTAGTCTCGGGTGACGTGAGGGCAGGCAGCACTAGAATTTAGCATAACTGTTGAGTTAGAAAAAACTTAATGCAGTCTTAAAGTGCGCTGTGCAAAGCAAATCCGAAAATGGACCACGCTGTGGTAGATAAGGGTGGAGGAAATGGCGTCTTATTGACCATACCGCACAATGGCAGCATTGTTATGGTTATGTGGTGAGGCATGTTCTGCAGCCGCAGTGGCATGTGCACCACGTGCGCTTTCGTAAGTCTCATAGCGAACTGTGGCTGACTCGAGAAGTTCGACAAGTTCATTCTTTTTGTCGCACTATTTTGCTGCATTGATGTGGCAAAAACATAGACGACATCTATATTTTTGGTGCAACAATAGCTGGGAGAACATGCTGCAGTGTTCTTCCAGCCATTGTTGTAGCCTTGGGGCCTGAACATAAGTGTGGAACGAGTACGTACATATCTGCATACCGTGCTGTGGATCAGTGAAATGGCAGAATGAATTACCGCTGTGCTGCAAAAAAGACACTTTTCTTTAAGATATTTTTTGAAGCTGTTTGTTTTGATGACCAGCAGGGACCACCTACCTTTGGGTCGATTTATGTCTGGCAGAGAGCTGTCACAGTAGCTGAAAGAGCAATCGAGGGATTCGTAGAAGGCATGAAAGGGACGGTTGAGTAGCTCGGAGAAGGATATAAGCACAGCGAAGAAGCCACCAGCGCTTCACAAGTACACGAGAGGGGGCTTTCTGCATACCTGTTAGGAGTTTTTGGTTGCGGGACGCATTGTACAACTGCACTTTGCCATGGTGCTGGACATTGTTGCCAAATAATCCTATTTCCCGAGAGCTTATTAACCGGAACATGTTAATACATAGCTATATAAGGTTATTTTTAGCTTTCACTATTGCGTGCCTAGAAGATGCCAAATCGTACTAACCGGGAGCATATCAACAAGGCTCTACCGTATTCGAATACAGGTTGGCTTTTTTTTTTTTTTGTCCAGAAATGTCACTTAGTTGTCAGCCTATATTTAGGATAGAAGCTACCAAGAGTGGCAAGCCGAAGGGAGAGACAGTGTGGGGACTGCCCTTCTTCTAGCAGTGCCAACTACAATGTATATCCAAATACACTCAAATCTCAATATAATGAACCTGGATGTAACAAAATATTAGTTATAATAAATGAAAAAATTTTACAATAGATATAGTGTTAGAGTAAACCTTTATAACAAATTTTCGGATATAACTACCATATTTACTTGCATAATGAATGCACTTTTTTTTTTCTAGAAAAATCTGAGGAAAGTTGGGGGGTGCGTTTATTATGTGGGGTAAACTTTATGAAAACTTTTTCAGTAGCGAAAAATGCTGTAATGCAAAAAAAGTTAGGTCGCTTAGCCTTTCGCAATCGACATATCCATACACTGTTTCAAAACAGCTTCTTTGTTGCACTTTACTCATTTTCGGTGGTTGATGGCACTATCTTCTGCAAGCTGTCCTCGTTCTGCCCATGCACGGCATAAAAGCGTTTTGCGGCTATCTTTTCTCGCAATCGTTTTACTGCAACAGTGGTATCTACTGTGATCTCTAGTGGCGCCCAAAAGCATGCGCTACGACGCACTTTGCCAACTTCGCGGCAACCTCGTACGACGACCCTGACAATGTTATTAACATTGTAGCAAGTAACCGACATAGCAGAAAGCTACCCCCAAAGCATCAAAACAAACCGCCGATAACAAGATTAATCACAAAATACGGCTGCCACCTCGCTTTTACTTGAGGAGTTCCTGTACTCGTGGATAACAAGCAAAGTGAGAATCGGGGGTGCTATCATGTTGAGGAAATCATCACAATCTTTTCTAGACGACAAGTAATTCTTTCTGGTTTTCCAGAAACCTGCGACGCGATAAGGACGAATGACCCTTTACGACAGCAAATCCTGCCGTCGTCGCTTGAAAATTGCATGCACGTGGTTGGGCTTTAAAGTTTCGTAATCGCAGAAAGCGACTGTCAGTTGGCGTGGGCAGTTTCATGACCTTCGTTCGCCGTGTGCTTATCAGCTGCAATGTCTCTACACTCTCACCATTCGTGAACTCACCTGTGGCAGAGAGATTTAAAAAAAAAATACGGGGGATGTGCTGCGCGCAGATAAAAAGAAAAGCAATACGGCACATGGCAACGGGCGGAGAAGAGTAGGGAGCGAGTCGAGGTGGCCGAGGAGGGTCGGCATAATAATAAAAAACAAAAGAGGTCCAACTGGTGAGAAGGCGCCAGGAGTCAGTTAGCGGGACTGTAGCGGATGAATGTAGGGAGTGCGTTTATTGCGCAGAGATAAAAAAATTAATTTTTGATGATTAAAGTTGGGGGTGTATTTATTATGCGAGTGCATTCATTACGCGAGTAAATGCGTTAACTTAGTTTTTCGTGTTAGATGCAACTTTGTTATTATGTGGTTTGAGTGTAGATATGCAGATTTGCTACTACAGAAATCTGAACTTGTAAGCTGACACACCTCAAGAAGATGAACATCATTAAAAGTTCTACTAAAAACATTCTAAGACAAACTACAGATCCCACTTTAGCTCTGCACGTCGGCCCACTCAGTGAAGATTGTAAAATTGGGGATATGACAATGGCCTCAGAACCATGATCACTGTGCTTGATTTTATTGTTTCCAACATCTGGGAAGGCCATGCTTTTGCTTATGGAAAACTGACTAGTATTACGTTTCGTGTGTGCTCATTGCAAATAAAGGTGTTTCATATTCCAATTTTTAATTTCTCAGGAGGTATGGGTTGACCTAGATTAGCATCATTTTTAAAAAATTTTGTGGAACACAACATATAATGGTCAACCAATATTCATGCCTAACCTATTTCAAGTATACACTTGAGTGAAATATACTGCAGTGTAATACGGCAGCTCAATGTTGGTGAAATTGGCAAAACTTCTTTGTAGTTTGACACATTGTGATATTAAAATTTGACCTTTTGGTTGTTTGTTTATTAACTGACAACCCCAAGTGGGGGTTTTTACAGGTAATGCAAAATATAATGTTCAATTGATTCGTTCTCAGAAAGTAGAAGCCACAAAGATTTCGATGATAGAGCAGTCATAAAGTAGGTTTAATTACAAAAAAATGTATTTCATTTAACCTCCCAACTCACAACCTCATTTGATGCCACACCGACAATGTGATGAGCTTTATCATTGTGTGTTGTCAAGACTCAAAAGCTTTCTGTGCTCATTCACAGCAGTGTTAAATAGGCCTGCTATTTTTTTTTTTGTGCTCAAAATCAACAACTTGGTAGTTTGGTGGTTGGAATCATGTTCAGGTTTTTGAACAAGTGTTTCGCTGTAGCATCACCAAAATTTCACATTTGATGCCAGAGGCAGTGGTTTCTGAAGGCCAAAGTGGGAGTACTTTCTGGAGCCCGTGGCATACATCTTCTGTTGACATTACTACCAAAGCCATGAAGTCACGTAGGCTAGTATATGCAAAATCTGTGACAAAGCCAATGTACAGGGCTTCCGTTTGAATAATGTGTAGTGGTGACTAGAATTCACGACACTATTCAGGATCTAGCTTTTTTTCATTCTTTAGGGCAGTGTGCACATGCCCTTTGGCTAACTGAAGAGGGCTGGCACTGTGGACAAAGGTGCCTTAATTTAATTTGTCACCTTGCTTTTATACGAATTTAAGTCGAAGCTCTTCGGCTTTAGTGGGGTGTGATGGGTTTTGTTGTTGCTTGAAAAGAAAATGTTGGTCATGAAAAGGAAATGGAGCTGCCCGGTTGTAGTTTTCACTGTTTCAATGAGCATCTCGCATGCCGATTTCTGAACATTTTGGTGCGGTATTCTTTCCATATTTAATAACACATGTTTACGATCCCAGCCTTCCTGCCAGGGCTGAGAAAAATTACTTCAAAATGATAACGTGTTACAATGCAAGGTCCTCGGGCAAGAGGTATTTGAGATACAGATATAAAATACACCTAAATTTATTGTATTCAGTATACTTCCCATTTTTATCATAAGGTACTTCGACACATTTTCAAATTCGTTATAGATTTCTATGATGAAGTAAAATGTTTGCTTGAAAATTTCTTGACTGTAACCAGCTTTGTTTATTTTGATGAAAAATTTGTTAGTATCCCAAAAGTATTGTCTTTCTTGCTCAAAGTAAATTAGTTTCCTTCTGAAACAACTTACTAGAATTGCTTTAACTGTTTCAATGTGAGAGCTTTGTACGCTGCGCTATCAGTGGCTTTTGCTTGTTACCTTAGTCAATGATAGGTGTCTCTGCTCTATTTGCCTTCCAGCTAGCGAGCTGCCATGTATTTTGAAGAACATTAGGCCTTTAAGTGTTCCACTCTTTTCGCACTCTTGTATGATCTGATAAGTGTACTGCAGTAACATTGCTAATAACTATCCTTTTGTGACTCATCGTGTAACATTGAGATCATAAAACTACAACATATTCCCTAACGTGCATTTTATTTACGTTTCTTCTTTAAGAGAACTGTGCCTACCAAAGACTCCTCAAATGTAGCTCAAAGTGTTGCAGGGTACTACTGCTATTTAGACTGTTGCCACTTATAGCTTTGATTTACTGGTGATTTAGGTAACTGGCACACAGATCGACACTGAAAGTGTCGTTGAGCCACTCAATTCTCATGCTCCAGCGCATGCTCGACCAACATTAAGTTTAAAACTGGCCATGTTGCTAGCATATCGGTCAATTGCCAATGAAAACGCTGTGTCAGATGGCGGCGTATGCACGTCGTGGGTGCACGTCACGTCGTTGGTGCGAGTGCACTTTGTTTTCGCGCCGCTGTGCTTGTGTGGCGCTACAAGCTGAAGGTTTTATTTTGTGTTCGATAGATGGCGCTCGTGCTGCTTGCAACTGTTAAAGCATGGTTGTTAGATGATGTCCTGACTTTTATTGTGTCATTTCTTTTTGTGATATAATGGCACGATTTATATTGTTTCGATCGTCAATGAAACTGTCTATCACACTGAAATAAAATACACAGATACATTAAAAAACTGTTTTTCTTTAAGGAATTAAGGTGGCAGGTGGGTTTATTATGCAGGTGGGTTCATTACTCTAGTAAATACAGCACTTTCCTTGGCATGATTGTCTGTTAGACCTCATTAATATTGTTTCTAACAGAAATAAAACAAGCCCTTAAATGAACACTTCTGTCCTTCGTAACGGTATCTTGTATCTTAATATACGTGATACATTATTAATTGTGTTGGAAATAAAAAACAGGTACTTAGTTTTTGCTCCCTTAGCTTCTCCAGAAGGCTGAAGCTCGCTTTCACACCTGGCATTAGTATCGTTCTTGGCCATGTGTTTCGATTGAGGTAGAATACAGTACTTGGGTGCACATTAATGAGCACCAGGTGGTCAAAATTCACATTTGGCGTCTCACTATGGCACACCTTGTAATCTTATAGGGAATTTGGCTTCTAATACCCCAGAACTTAATTTTTCTAGAACACCCCTAGTGGTTTGGGGGATAATCTTTATACAGTCTCTAGAGTCACAAGAAGATTAGAGATTCCACAGAAACACAGCATGAAAGCTTAGAGCTTATTCAAACTCTCAAAGGCTGTGTGACTGAGTTGGTTGCCGAGGATCAAAGGGCCCTCCAACATTTTTGAAGCAGCTTTTTTTTTTTTTTTTGTGCTTAAAGTGATGGCTGAGGATAGTTTTAGCATAGGTCTAAGCACTGATATCAAATGATCGAGTACTTTAATAACGCATTAAAGCCGCTACATCACTTCGCTGGAACTATTGCGATTGCAAATGGCTGAAGATTGAGGCAAGCCTATGATTGGATAAATGTAACGTTAGCTCTCCTGGCATACCATCAGAACTGAGATTACTAGTAGTTTGTTTCTTCTTTTTTTTGTGTGTGTGTTCTTCATCGAACCCCAGATGCGGCCGCAACGAAAAAAAAAAAGGAAAGAAAAGCAGTATGACTACTAATCACGAAAAAGGTGTTGGCTGCCATCTTTCGTCTGGAGATTTTGCGGGCACGTGTTGGATGACCATACGAAAGCCTTCTCTCTCTCTTCTTGCTTCTGTGGCTTTGTAGGTTGCCTCTTTCCACACGTGTGGTGGGCTTTTGATTGTTTTTCAAGGAGTGCAAGCCATCTCTGGCAGCTCGCCAAACAACTCCTGAAAGGTGAACACCTTGGCTGTTCCACAAATTTCCTTCCCAGATTGAGAGGAGGAAGTGATGTTCAATGTGGTAAAGAACCGGAAAAAATACCTCGCTTTGAAACAGTAGCGCTCATCCTGACAAGTCGGGCGTCGCGCACCATGTTTTTTTACTGTAACAATGTGGTCTAAAAATACGTTGGAAAGGATTAACAACAATGGTCTCATTTCATTGGGGGAAACCCCTCTACATCACAAGGCTAGTCAGGGTGAGGGAAACGTGGTCAAGTGACCCCGTGAAAATCAAATTGAGTGTAGGCATTTTTTATTTCTTGTATTTCGAATCTTTTATATTGAATAACTTTGCACTGCATACACTTATATCTGCCATTCCTGCTGCATTAATCTGTCTGTACTTCAATCTATGCCACCCATGACTAAAGCATAAGTGGTTGAATAGTGTTGGTCTGAGGCAAAGTGAAAAAAGGCAATTTTTTTTAAAGCATTTTTTGGTTTTTTGTCATGTTGATTGTGCTCTTTGTCACCCATCATTTTGCTGCATAAAGTTTCTATCTATGTAACTTCTCTCAAAAAGATGGGAAAAAAATGAAAATGGTCAACCATCTATTGCAGAAGTGTAGATTCTATCTATGTAACTTCTCTCAAAAAGATAGAAAAAAAGTGAAAATGGTCAACCATCTATTGCAGAAGCGTAGATCTTAGTCAAGTCAGCGCTTGTTCATTTCTTCCTGTGTGTTCGTCTTGTTTTCCCGCACGGCTTGCTACCATGGAGACCACCCATCATTTGTGAAACTGAAACTGAAAAGGCCAGTTTTGTGCTACATCGCTAGATTAGCTTGATATGTAGTATTTTTTGGTTAATTAATAATATTATTAAGAGTAAACCTGTGATAAGCTTTTAGTAGCATTGTCAACACATCATTTTTAGTCATAAAAGTCGTAAACTTCTCACCAGGTGGGCACGTAATGCAGTACAACTGTTGTTTACGCTCGAGGACGTGTATGTGAACCTGTCAATCATCAATTTAGCTTTGTACGATGCTTTGTGCCGTTTCAATGATGCATCGAGCCTGGCCTCTATTTACAAAAGCTTGCCGCATAAATGATTGGCACTGCATTGTGACAGCATCCTGCTATGACATTGATGCTGCTTAGACAGCTAGATTAAAAAAAAATGGGGAGTTGCTGCTGTAGCGAACACAGGCAAGGCGGTCCTGGATGAAACTAGCCACAAAAATTGAATGATCCTGATCACTTCATGTAAGCTTTACTTCTTTTTCTATTTTTTTGTTGTTGATTTTCTCAAAATGTATGTTTCACGCAGTTAACTGTAGGCAAACATTAATAACCTTCTTGCTAATAAAGATTTTTTATTAAAACTTGGCGCACATCCTTGTCACATTACTGGGTGTGCAATAAACCTCATCGTGAAAAATTATGCTCCAAGATTTAATGTGGCTGCCTGTTTAATGAAGGTGCCCTTAGTGTTAGTATGTAATCTTTAGTTTATTTATTAATCACTGTTTCTAAAACTCATCTGATCTCATTTGTTTTGGTTCATTGCAGTGGCCAAAGCTTCTTTTACGTTCCTACAAAAATTTGGGTTATTCTGTGGAATTTAAGTAAAGAGTATTTGCGTAAGGTGTAAAGTGTTTAATTATAAAAAAATAACAAGACATAGGGCTTGCTTTATAATGCACACCTGTTTCTAAACATGTGTTTTATAATGCAGACTAATCATTTGTAGCACTTGTTCTGGTTTACAATTTTTTTTTCTGACTCTTGGTCTTATACCTAAGTACATTACAGTTGCAGAGGTTGCTAACAATGGTGAATAGTTGTTTTGGTCAGAAAGGTTTGGATCAGTTGTTTCTTTATATTGAAATTTATAATAATCCTTGCCGTGTCTGATGTCTAATGCAGGGCGATTATTTCCAGCTTATTTTGTTTTATGCGTGGCCTGTAAATTTCTGAATTTCATCACTATGCTTAATGCTTTCCCATGCTCAGAAACGTTTCCCGCCTTGTGGTTCTCTCCAATCTGTATTTCTCTCTCTTAATCGGCTACATTTCCTAATCCACTCAGCTGTCTCTTGAAGTTATGCACATTTTCTTTTTTTTGTCCCACAGCACACTGGCATCGAGTTTCGGTGCTGTTCTTCAGGTTTCTGCTTTATATTTAAGCAGCTAGCCAAGATTTACACCATACGCTACCATTTATGTTTGCTACCACTCACTTACTGATGAGACATTTACAGTCTCCTTGAGTTGCCAGTGTAAATGAGCATAATCGTATTTTATGCGCTGAAGGATACTTCTGTCTTTGCTGTTTTTAACAGGATGTCACCATGTGGAGAGGCATGGAGCAGTCTTTACTGGTCTTTCAACCAATGGACTGTGCACCTCCAGCTGATGTGTTCTTTCGTGGTTATTATCCCTTTTTTTACCTCGAAATAGTCCGCGTATTTGCAATGGCCCTTGAGGGTGTCTTGATTGCCATCCCGTTGGTGTCAAACATCTTCGAGGTGACATCTTCATAGACATACATTGAGTGCCTCTTGTAACTAATTCTTTAATCGACCGTGGTCACTTTAGCCTAAGATTTGGAAAAAGTAATTATGAGTGCATTTTCGACTAGGTGAGAAACTCTAGTATAGCGTAGTTTTGCAAATAGGCTGTACTTGAATAGTTAAGATATGTTTTTTTATAGTTATTTGCAGATGCTGTTCTTTTAGAGCATTTATGTCTTGTTGATGTTTAAGTTTTGTTTTAATTGTTGCTTCTGAGCACTTGTATCCGTCACAGACAGCTTTAAAGTAAGAAGTGGCACACGACAGTTATCGTTCAGGTGATTTTAGTCCATGTCACACAAAAGGCCTCTCATTCTTATTGAGCCTCCACTGACATAAACGTAGGGGTTCCATCTCATTATGACAGAGCAAAGATTGTACTGACCAGCAGTGGCATTCTGCAGGTTTGCCAATCATTGGCCAAGCTTCAGTGCGTAATTGTGTAAAACATTGCACATTTGTGCCTTTTGCCTGTGCACTTTGTGCTATCTATTGCTTCTACCTTGGAACCATTGTGAGGTGTTGATAGTTTGCTTGTGTTAAAGCATAGGTAAACGTACCTTATTTCATACCAGTTTTTAGTAAAGTGCAAAAAAGCAGCATTTTTAAATTAATCTTAATGGATTCTTTGCAATGCCTTTATACCATAGTAGGCATTGGGTTTTCTATTCAAAATAGGCACTTGGAGACCTCAGCCTCATCACTGCAATGGCTCCTCTTTTCCTTTTATTGTTATTATTATTACTACCAAATTTCTTAAAAAGGAAGCTCTAAGCATGATGACTGAGTCCTGTCAGAAATTTCTGATTTGCAGGTCACAAACTTTCAAATACCTTTAGCTATTTTGTACGCCTTGACAAGTATGAATGCTTTTCCCCAAAAAAAAGCGAGTACTTGTACCTTGGCACCCTCCTGCAACATTCTGATGGCGGCATGTATGACGGAGATGAGGCATGGTTGCAGTGTTACATTTGAATTTGTTTGAAACTGACATTACATGTGTTGCAACTTCACTCTGGTCCACGGCATCATTGTCAGTCACACTTGCTACACAGTGATGAATTAATGGTGACATACAGGATGCTCGCATTTCTTTATATGTTTAATTATCACCTAAATGGGACAACATCTTCAGCTAGTGCAAAAGCGGTGAAGTACATAATCACGATAATAAAAGAACTTGCGAATCTTTTCCAAAAAAAAAAAAAAAATGCCACAAAAGTTTTTTGATAAAATTTCAAGAGACACTTTATGAGGTGTGTGAAATTGGCAACAGTAAGTAGCCTTCATACAGTTCAGCCTTGCTTCAGCTGTGATGAAATCCCAGCCACGGCAATCGCGTTTTGGTGGAAGTACTAGAGGCTTATTGTCTGTGCAATGTTGGTGCTTATTAAAGAACATCAAATGGTTGCAATTTCTGGAGCCCTCCACTATGCCGTCTCTCATCATCATATTGTGGTTATCAGATATAAGACCTTAGATATTATTATTATTATTATTATTATTATTATTATTATTATTATTATTATTATTATTATTATTATTATTATTATTATTACTGCATTGGCTGTGATGTTTTGTCACTACTTTTGTAGCATTTGCATGTGAAGTTTGTTGAGTGCTCTTGTTATTGTATGCATGCAGAGGAGCTTTTTACCACTATTGTAGTTTTATTCTTTTGTTATTCAATAATCATGTCTGCATCAGGCACAACTCTTTTTTTTTTTTTAATCCTTTGCACAAATGTACCATGTCACATCTTCTGTATTATGTACCCTCAGGCACACTGTCCAATTCCTCTGTTACAAATTATTTGTGTTTTTATTCTTTCTTTGAAGAAAATAACGTTGTGATACTTCACAGTAGTGGCCATTGGAAGATGTGCAAGGCAGCTTTTGCAACACCTTTTTCGGGGCTTCACATCAATGCCGAGCACTTTGAGCCGAAGATGTTTGTTTCTGGCTGCTGCCCTTCTGTATCGGTAAAGCACCATACAGAAACACAACATTGAGTTTGTATGAGGTAGCTTTCAACAGTACTTTGTCTCAGCCAAAGATAACCACTTTGTTATTCTTGTGAGCAGTCAAGCATCCAGCAAACGGTTGTGTTCTCATATGCCTTCCAAGCTGTGCCTGTAGTTTAACCATGTACAGCTTTGTACAGCTGTTCTGCACAATACTTTGTGAAGACTTGAATGTATGAGGGTTAATATGCACATGCATATACATATCATGTGCATTTGTCTTATTATTTATGCACAAACTGGCAGAAAGCTTGGCAATTCACCCATAGATTGTGTATATTTTGTCTGTGTTGATTTCGGTGCTGCAAATAGAAAAAAATGTTTGAGCTGGTAGCATTGGGTAAACCAGGTCGTATTTATGCACACTCGAGCCAATCAGTGGTTCATGTCTAATTTTGATCATACGTCGAGTGTTTTACTGTTTGGCGTAATTGTGCTAAACACTGTGTTACTGGCATCATAGTTGCAATTAGCACGAGGGCTGATAATAGTCGACGTATGTAACTGCGCGGTAGTAAACACGGACGACAAGAAGATACAAGGACAAGCGCAGACTATCAACTGAAGGTTTATTTTTCACAAACCACATATATATGACTGAACCAGAAACAGAAACACGAAAATCTACAAAAATGATGACTTGGCACTTAACAATCGACCAAAACGTGAACGTTTGACAAAAGCAGATTCAAGGACCATGTGCGCCACTTGCCAGATACCGTAGCTCTTTATCTAAAAGAGCTAACGACGGTTTGCTGACGCAGCGTTCTGGTTCCCGTGCCATTTTTTCCGCTTCGACAATCATACGGGTATGATCGTCTTTGTGCCTGAACATTACGACCGTGCTTTCGAACTGCGCAAGGCAGCCACACCTACTGACGTGCTGAGCTAAAAAACCCTCATTGCCAGTGCGCACATTGCGTGCGTGCTCGCGCAGGCGCTCATTTAAGCATCTCCCAGTCTGCCCGATGTAACACGCACCACAAGATAGCGGAATTCTATAAACTACATTCATGTCACATCTGACAAACTGGGTTTTATGCCTGACAGTGCAAGCTTGTTTGGGCCTATTGTTTACACATGTCATTTTGGCTAGCTGAGAGAGCTTGTAAGGTGCCGAAAAAAACGACCTTTACGCCCATGCGCTGTCCGAGCTTTTTTATCTTGTGAGATAGCTGGTGCTTGTAAGGGATTACCGCGACTTTGTCACGTTTGCTTTTGTCTCTGTCATTAGTGCTCTCTCTGCTTCTGGGCTTTTTCTTCTTTTTTATTGTTTCTGCCACAGAAATGAGAAGCGAATCCGGGTAGCCAGCTTCTTTCAGACGCTCAACTTGATTTTGGAAGCTTGTTTCCATCATGTGGAAACATGATCTGTCCAGGGCATTAGTGAAGCAGGAGTTCACTATGCCTCTCTTAACCAATTTGCTATGTGCTGATTTAAAAGGCAAAAGCGGTTTCATAGCGCGAGGCTCATACATCCAGCATGCGTGATTCACGCTGAACAAAAGTCTCATGTCTAGGAAGCGAATCGAGTTGTTCACTGGGAGTTCATGGGTCAGTACGAGTGGACTCAAGCAGTCACTAAAAACTTCAATGACATCAGATGACAACCCCATTACTCTAGCAGATTCACACTTAAAAACCACCAGGTAGTCGTCGACGAACCTGAAAATCCTCACAACTTCCTGACAACACAGCCGCTCTTTCAAGTTCCTGTCGAACTTCGCAAGCAACAAATCACTCAGAATCGGTGCAATCGAAGATCCTATTGACACACCATTATTTTGATAAACATCACCGTTCCATTCTACATAGGTAGAGGTCAGATAAGTAGCTAGCAGGTCAAGAAAACTGCTAACACTGACACCAGCTGCATTCTGGAACGTTACGTGGCCCATTAGATCAACACATTCTTCTATGCATGAATACAAAGCGTCACGAGGGAGAGAATAATATAAATCTTTGATATCTATGGAAAAAGCACTTAAAGTGTAGTTAGAATACTCTTTGAAGAATTCAGTGACCTCCCTTGAATTCCTGACTAGAAAGGGATCATTAATCTCTAAAAGTTTCAACTTTTCTGCAAAAACATCCCTAAGGCGTTTTGCCAAGAACCCTTCTCTGTAACGATGACACGAAATGGCACGTCAACTTGTGTGTCTTTGCCGAAAAAAACATCTCTAGGGCCAACTTCTCACTTTTTTCTATCTTTCTTGCTATTTCAGACAGGTTAAGCTTCGTGCACAGTTTTTTCGCCTTAGATTTGACTTTAACCAGGTCAATACCACTGCACTTTTGGAAGACGGATGTGACCGCACTTACAGCTTTCTTCAGGTACAAGTCTTTGTTGAGGACCGCGAAGCCTCCCTCCTTGTCCGAAGGCACCACGCACAGTTCGTTGTCTCGTAGATGTGAAATTGTCCTGCTTAAAGGAAGACTACTTGCGCACGGCTTAACTTGCTGCAGCACATTAACTCCTTCAGACACGCACCTGTTACAGTCTTAAGATAAAAAAGCTCGGACAGCGCATGGGCGTAAAGGTCGTTTTTTCGGCACCTTACAAGCTCTCTCAGCTAGCCAAAATGACATGTGTAAACAATAGGCCCAAACAAGCTTGCACTGTCAGGCATAAAACCCAGTTTGTCAGATGTGACATGAATGTAGTTTATAGAATTCCGCTATCTTGTGGTGCGTGTTACATCGGGCAGACTGGGAGATGCTTAAATGAGCGCCTGCGCGAGCACGCACGCAATGTGCGCACTGGCAATGAGGGTTTTTTAGCTCAGCACGTCAGTAGGTGTGGCTGCCTTGCGCAGTTCGAAAGCACGGTCGTAATGTTCAGGCACAAAGACGATCATACCCGTATGATTGTCGAAGCGGAAAAAATGGCACGGGAACCAGAACGCTGCGTCAGCAAACCGTCGTTAGCTCTTTTAGATAAAGAGCTACGGTATCTGGCAAGTGGCGCACATGGTCCTTGAATCTGCTTTTGTCAAACGTTCACGTTTTGTCGATTGTTAAGTGCCAAGTCATCATTTTTTGTAGATTTTCGTGTTTTCTGTTTCTGGTTCAGTCATATATATGTGGTTTGTGAAAAATAAACCTTCAGTTGATAGTCTGCGCTTGTCCTTGTATCTTCTTGTCGTCCGTGTTTACTACCGCGCAGTTACATACGTCGATCATGAATCACAAACTCGCCCAATCGTCCACCCTGATAATAGTGTAACGCTGCTTCAAATGAACGTGTGCGATTGCATTTTCTGCATCACACACAAATCGAAGTAGAATGCTTGTCACCTCGTGCAACCTACCTCGGTTTCATCTCTGGCGATATTTATCAAGAATCACCAGAAGTGGGTGAGAAAGAAAGTTAGCTTTTCAAGTGCCTTGGGTAGCTGCATAATGATGACCAGTAATACCTATGCCACAGGCTGTCATACCAAACATGGTATGTTTGTATCGAATTACTTGTGCTTAGATTGATTGATTGGATGTTAGCCATGCATAAAGGTACTTGGTCGCTGTTCCTGTGTTTCGAGGCCTGCTTGCATTACCGTTGTAAATGATGAGGATAAAAGCAATGTTGCTCATTAAGCTAGTCATTGAGCTGTTGTCGTATCCTAAAGGCTTTTGGTGTCTTTCCTGATAAAAGATAAGTAGGAACTATCCAGGATAGTGCTCTGTCAGGTTAAAATGGAAGTCAATACTTTTAAGTAGAGTTACATAACCTAATGTAAGCGATTTTCATTGATCCTAGGCTTTGCTGCTTGTATGTGAGCCTTGGTAGCCCAACAAGCCTGCGCACAGTGGTGGTTCTATGAAAAACACAGCTACATAAGAGAGAGTATTTATGTCTATTCATACTGTCACAAGTATTATTTTGCACACTATTGCCAGCTACTGGTGGTATTTAACAGTACAAATAATAAATGACTGTTTAATTTCCCTGCAGTAATTTGTGCCTCATATGTAGAGGAAATTAGATAAGACTACGCACAAGCTGGGTTGAATGCATCAGCGGGCAAACCTTCAGTATAACTAGGTCATAAAGTGCTTAACTTTGCATGCATAACATCTACTCTTGCTTCATTTGCATGTTTTTGAAAGTGCGAATGAGTACTAGGGTATTAGAGTGTGTAAAAGTTACTAGCAGTTGTCAGAAACATTTGATGTCTGCAAAAAAAAACTGTATTGCCAGGTTTGGCCTTCGCACATCTGCAGTTACAGTCCCATTGCAGTAGGAGCATTTATTTTTGCGAACATATGGTGTGCTTTGTTTGGAATTCATTTTGTGTTTTGAATATTTGCACATTGTGGTGGACAGTGTGGCTGACATGATGGGCGGCTGACATGATGAGCGGTTGATATAGTTCATTTGGGAACCGTTTCAACTGCACAATATTTCTTTTTTTTTTATTGTTATTCAGGCTCGCTTTTGAGGCCCAATGCGTGGGCACATATGATGTGTAATCAATTACACATCATGTGTGATATTAATCATTAAAGGTCAACTCCGGCGATTTTTCAGGGTTAGTGGATCCCAATAAAATTTTGTTGGGTATGTTTCTTTGCACATTTTCATAATTTAATGCCACATTACAGGCTGCAGAAACACACAGATCCTTTAGGCATGATTTCATAGTTTGCCCCCACTCTCCCAACTGGCTTCCCACAATTATTGGCAACATTGTGTGTGTGACGTCATTTACGGCACAACGATAAAAGTGGCAGAACTAAGGTACTACTACATTGTCTACTGTCCACGAAACAATGATTGCATGTGTTTTTTGGCCAACACTTCGTTAGTTTGACGTGCAAATTTCAGTTCGTTAGGGGCTTGCGTGCGATGGGTGGCAAGTTGTGTTGCTGTGTGGTTGCGCACAATTTGCCAGCATTGCTGAACAGTCACGAAACACTCTGAGGAGACTTTTACCTGTTGTGTCGATATTACACTGCCTTAACTAGCCATGTCGGTTAACCACGTGAAAGCTGCAGCAATACCACTCTGACCGAAGGGTGTGCATGCATGAACATTCGGGTAATGAACTTTCCGTAACGAATACAGGATGCATCGTGACCTGGTCTAGCGCATCATATATAATTCCTTTGGCCCTGCCAGTGCGACTTTAAGCACTGCTATTGTCAGGCCTATGCACTCTTTCCATGGGAATATTAAAAAGCTTTAGTTAGTCGCCCTGAACAACTTGACTTGCCTGAACACGTGGCGCCATCTGACTGT